ATTATTATTCTGCTTTGGACTGAGTATTAATATTGATTAATACGCACAGAGCACAAAGGCATCAGCGTGCAATAGTGAAACGCGTCACGTTCTCACGGTGTGTCTTATTGCTTCTAAGTAGACTGCTGACACCACAAATGGTGCTGACTCTCAACCGCTGCTGCACTGATATAAATCACTAATGTTACACACGTCTGCCGCGTCGTATTCACAGTCTGAGCATAGTGTAATTCTTACTAATTTATGAAAAATTATATGCGCGCTACATAAACCAAGCTGTTTCTGAAAATTAGCGTGAAAAATTCACGCATTCGTTTCAATTTAAGTAAAAATAAAAATTAGATATAATTGAGACAGTGTTGTTATTGACTTGCTTTTCGGAAAAAAATATTGCGCTATTATTATTATTATTCTTATCGATCCCACAAGTCGCAGACACTCGTACTGATACTTTATATCATCGTGTGTCTCGACAGGAGATAAATCCAACAGTGGGCGGGCGCGATCGATCATTCGCACTAATTAATTCATCCGTCAATTAGCAAAGCGAACGTGAGTGCGTGCGTGCATGTGCGTTGCATGCCTCTTCGCGTCGGCACAGGCGTTGCAAAAAAGATACCCGCGGGGAGGGCGGTAAGAAAGGAGTGAGGAGCCACCGTTTCTCCGGGAATTTAATTAAACCAAGTGGAGACGAGGGTAAAACGATACAGGACGTCGCGCGCCTGCAAGAAGCTGCCATCGCTTGTTCTTTTAACTCACTTCGATAATGATTTTCTCGCCTTCGCGAGAAGAAAATGTGCGCCAGAACGCGCATAAGTCCGCGTCTGTGCGTATATATTTATTTGTACGAATTTCTGTTGCTTGCGAAAAATATTTGAACTGGATAAAATATAGATGCTAATTTGTATGATTACTAAAATTAAATTATTGCTAATATAATTGTAATTAAAATAATATTTGTACGTATAATGTATGATAGATTGGCATGTTAAAGATGTATAACGTAATGCACTTTTGGTCTTTAATTTAACACACACACGCGCATATATACGCACAATTTATCTAATATTGTAGAATCTTCTGTAAATCATAAAGCAGCAATAAATGGCGCGCACGTAGCACGCACGTGTTAAATTCTAGTGTAATAAATAATAAATTTAATGTTATATATCATTTGTAATTGTAGTGAATTCTGCAGTATGATAAATTAATGGAATGCACATAGATTCATTACAAAGGTTTGCATATACTAAAATAAAAGAGATATGATTTTGGGAAATTTAAATCAAATATGGATATTAATTGCATTGTTCCTCAAATTTACCACAATTCTGTAATATCTTGCATGTTTTTATATATATTATTACTGTATTCTATATATATTATCATATTACTGTTGCAGAAAATGAAGTAAAATTATTATTAAAAATAATAATAATTTACATAACTGAGTTAGTTGATTCAAATAATCTTTTGAAAATTATACTTTTATCACAAAGAGATGGAACAAGAATGTAATATTTATAATGGCATATAAAACATGTATACTCGCGTTGGATCGAGTTATACAACGCCATTGCGTTTTCTATTCGCGATGGAGTTGTAAATATACGACGGAGACACTCCGCCGGCGCTGTTAACATAAATTTGCATCAGGACGCAACGCGGTTTTTGCGAGGCCTGCCATAGTTCTAGCAAAAAGAAGGCGTGCTGGTTTCATAGACGAAGTTAAATTGGCGGTCTTAAGATACGAGACATTGAAGAGCTGAATGCCTGCCATCCGTGATCGATAGATTCATACATTTTAGTATTCTTAAGCCCCGAATGAAGACATGCATGCAACACTACAGTGTGATAAATGAGTTATTTGGAATATTTATTCCATTTTAATTTATCTTTTATTTTTACTGGTATTTTCTCTCTCTCTCTCTCTCTCTCTCTCTCTCTCTCGCCTTTATATTAAAAGCATTATTTTTGTTCTATTCTGATTAATATTTTTCTTCTTCTAGAATCCACGTTCATAATGTATAATTAAAACCGATAGGTCTTTCGCCAATTCCTGATCATCGAATCTCGGAGAGATCTCCGCTTGTTATCTTTCGTGTTATTTGCGGTGACAGGTGCTGTGGAACAACGCACACTTGCACACACAGACGAGTGACGGCGCATGATAACTCAACCCAACGGTATATAATTATCAAACCGCGTAATTGTTAATTATTATACCATTGTCAGCGACCAGTAATTAATGCGGTGCCAAAGTTCCTCGGTATTCTCGTGTCTCACGCGATCGTTGCGATTGATTAGAACATCCTCGCGCCCTAAGCGGTGGTCGCGAGAGCGAGAGGTGCCGGCGAAAGCGGAAGTGTATTTATCTGAATTCTTGTTATAATAAATCTCTTTTGCGTTCTTTCAAATATATAATAAAATATATAATAAGAAAATTAATAAAAAAAAAAGAAATATATGTATATTTTATGGAAAGATATATATATATATATTTATATTCTTTTGCATAGTAAAAGTGCAATATCTATATATATGCTATGGATATTACACAACGTTTATCTGATAGAACCAATCGATACACCTCGCGGACCTTTTCGCGCCGCATGTTTTATTTATCGAATGCATCGGAGCGGCGCGACGAAGACCGAAAGGAAGGTGGTACGTACGTACGCAGTGATTTATGGGGGCAACACCTGACGGCATTTTGTTCGCTTTTGCATCAGCGGCGTTGTTACGTTGGCAGGCAGTTCCGCCCTTTTTTGCCTCCTTCCTCCACCTCGCCCTATTAGTAATGCCTCGGTCATTACGAACCCCCAGTCGATTCCCCGCGGCTAATAAATCCCGATAAAATTTCCATCCCCCATCCCTCGCCTTGCGCAAAGATTAAATGGAAAATCAAAGTAATTCAGTCAAAATTGTTCTTAATTCGCTCTTCATATTCTATTCAGAAATTCCAGCCGTTTCTCGATTGATACGTACGCTCGGAATTGAATTGTAGATCGCACGCGATCATATGATACCGATCATAGTATTAAATGACTATTAACGAGCCACAATGTATTAGAAAACCGGTATGTGCGGCGATTTACACGCGCCAGTCATGTATTTAGCAATTACTCGCCGATTCCCGTCGTATGTGTTCTTACATAAATATACTGAACTGTGTAATGTGGCGAAGCTATCGCGATTTTCATGCGAATCATTGGCATTTATGAATTTCAAATTGCTCGTAAACTATATTCTCATTGCCGATGTCGAAGAGTCTATCATACGAGTGAATTAATTTATCTCGTAAGTTTTCCCAAATTTATATCGAAACGTATAGATACGATCAGATCACAATTAGCATAATAAAACACAAATATGATTATCAATTATAATTGTAAGGATGCGGAACAAAATTTGCTAGTCGGAGAAAAATTGGGAAAAATGAAAAAAATATTCTCTAATTTTTAATTTAAAAATTTCTACCTTGCTGATTTCAAATCAAGCAAATCCGAATTAACCCCGTTGCTGCGAAGACAGACTCGGTGGTACATTCACATAATTAGCAGTGACTCGGTGATAATGAACTCTATTATAGGGTTCGCCGCTTAATTAGGTTGCGCGTTGATTTATTACGATCGCGAGGTATCCTGCCAGTGCTGGACGCCAGGACTATGCGCATACCTCGTTGCATCTGCATACGCGCCGGCTGACTCGCGCACATGTCTCGTATTCAGAATGCATTTCGATCGTCTGAAAAGAACTTATTCAGCAATCGCTCCTAGATCATTTCAGCGCGGATCTGTAGATTCTCGCGGCTGTCGACTCTCGATGATGGCTGAGGTGGATACTAACGTCCGGTATGGCCCTCTCCCACGTGTACAATGCCACGCAATGCAAATGCATTAGATGCATTTCCTCTCCAGAACAATACGTTTTCTCGCGTTTCTCGTATTATCCGTTTGCGTCGAGAAGAATTATTTCATATATTATTGCGCATTGCTCTCTCACGAAGGAGAATCTAATTTGCGTTCGGTAATGTATTTCAAGTGATATTCGATGGTGTTTCTAATTAGAACATGTGAGAACTGTGTGCGAGATACTTTTGGAGGACACTGTACATCATCCTTCGGTAGATCGGCTGCGATGCTCGCGGGCTGCATCCTTTATCGGAACGCGAGTGCACGGAATGGCAGCGAGCGTACAGCTCGTATCCTTGTATGTATATGTAATGCCTGAGACTGCTCCGCAATGCGATTTGTAGAGGAGAAATGGAGCAAGTTACATGAGGAAAGTTACGCTTCGGGAGAAAGAGATGCGACACAGGCGAGAGTTATCCCGCGCGTGTAAACAAACGAAATAGACGGAACAATCTAGGAAAGCACCGTGCGAGTGGCTCCATTTTGCAACTTTCCATAAGACAATACACAGTAGTCGTTGTTGATCTTGGCAAACACGTGACAAATCTTAATAACCTCATAACACCTCGGAAAGTTTAGTGAGAAAATATATAAATTGAAGAATTATACAGTAATAATAGAACGAGACGAGACAGAACTATATTTTTATAGTTATTAAAAAATAAATACACATTACAGAAATTAACAAGTCTCATAGCTGCAGCGCCTAACTAAATAATTATTCCACTAAAAAACTTTTTGGTTGTGCGCTGAAAAAATTTGATAATTATATCGAGAAAAGTAAACTATTGTCTAACTTTGTAGACTAAATATGTATTTATGTTTTAATAACGACTTTGCAGAAAACTTATGATTCACCTGCATTCGCAGAGATGTCACGAACTTGAATAAAAGTGTCAAAAATTGCAGAAATTAAACGAATGATAAATAATTACAATTTCATAAAAGATACACATAAGAATTAAATACATTTAAACGCCATTCTGATTTCGTGGATTTAGTTGCCTGAATACTGAAAGGATTTAAAACCTTGTGCAGAAAAGCTTAACTTCTATATTGACAAAATTTTCTTGGCTGAACACTTACCTGAATAGAGCTTAGATCTTTTCAGCAGCCACGCCTGAAGAGCCAGACGCTCTCGGTGCCTGCAGAAGAACTCGGGCCGGATGCCGTGCCTCTTCAGGAACTCATCGCACCGGCGGAGCGCCGCTAGCGCTTTGGCAGCTTCGATTTCGTCTACATCCGCGATCAGGACGTTGGAGGATCTCGCCTCGTAGGTTTCGTCGGGCAGTAGCATACCCATTTTCGCGGCGAAGTCTCTTGCAGATCGATCGGAAGGACCCCGGATCCCGACGAAGTGTTCCTTGCCACCGTAAGTCTCACTGCCCTGACCGCCGACTCGTCCCAGGCACATATTAGCCTCGTGAGAAGCCTCAATGCTCCTTTGAGATCTTCCTGATCCCGTAATTATATCACAAATGAGAATTTATTTTAAACTTAATTACAGTCGACTTAGCTGACTAAAGTTTCTTGCTTAAGAGAAAGACATGTTCTGATAACACGAGAAATATTTCGTTTAATTAATGAAGAATAGCGTTCTTAATACAACTTAGAATTTTCTTCGCATTTTTTTTCTTTTCTTACAAAATCTGTTATAATGCATATTAATCTGTCTTTTGCAAACTACAATTTTTTTTATTTGATTCTCGCTTAATTGGACAAACTTGATCGATTATTTCCCACCGATTGACTCGAATTTCAACAGATCCATCATTTCTTTAAACTTTTCTGTTAAAAGCAATATTTCCTTTTATATATTTTTCCTTCTCTATTCTCGTCTTTTCTCCTCTTCTTCCTTTTCTTTTTTTTTTAAGAGATAAAAGACGTTTAATAATTTATGTAAATCTCATTTAAGATACGTTCACACGTTAATCTATACATCGATTATATCGTAGCTATCGATCACGCACCATAGATTGATCGGTTGATTGCCTCTTCATGTAACTTCGCGACTTTCTTCGACACGTTCGCACTTGGTCACGCGAGACGTCTTCTGCAAACGATCCTGTCCTTAAGATCTTGAATAGTGATGTTCTTGTCGAAGAGGTACCCAATACTCGAAGCAAGTTGTTTTCCGAGATCAAGGCTCTTGCAGTATTAGATATCCGTGCGTTTGAACGAGATATCGAACAGGGAAGTCCTTAAAGGTCTGTTATCCAGTCGTTGATCCTATCGTCAACATTATTTATTCCGCTACGGCGACAGGAAGTCCTTGCATATCTCCGGCACGACAACGGTCTAAGAATCACCAGAAGAGGAAAATTTTTTAAGAACGTAATTGTTTTTTACGATTTTCTCATGAAAAGAAAGAAAGAATGTCGAAAGAAATAAAAAGTCACAATCCTAGTACGAGTGCTTTTGTATTTCCAAGTGCGTTTCGAACTTCTATCGTTATACGATAATCACAGCCGCGATTGTTAAATTATAAAATAATTGCTAAGTTGAATGTTTGAAGCGGACCTTTGTATTTACGAATCGGTTGAAATGGTGTCGCCCATGGAGTTTACGGCGAGGTGTCGGGGATTATAGGACGCTGGCACCATTTAACAGCATGACTATTTCCATTTTAGAGTGCTGGCTAACAATGACACAATAACGATGCCGCAAACCGCTATGGTCATTACGATTATCGCGTATTTTCGCGGTACCATTGACGAACCCGATTGGGTTATCAATTTCTACATTCCGTGATAAAATGAAAGCGTTAAAATAAAATAGCGTTTTGATCATGCTTTACTCATTCCAACAGCTTGCTCTCTAAAACCTTGTACAATTAATTTTTTTTCTTCATGAAATTTTTTGGATCTATTAATTATTGTAATTTAGTTGCAAAGTCCGTTCCAATTCATTTATTATGAATAATATTGAAGGATTAACAATATTTGATATTTTAGAATATATTTTTTTGAAGATACTTTCAATATTTTATTTAATTTGATTATACATCACTTCACATAACGACACATATTTTTATTAAAAAATGTATAATAGATATGTTTTTTATTTATAAGCAATATTCTAGTATAAGAGAGCGAAAAAGCATTTTAATGTTTTATTTATTCAAAATAATACGGCAAAAGTTATAACATACATGTGTTGTTTTTATTTGTTTTTCTTTATTTTTTGTGCAACATTTTAAAAACACAACTCTCTCTATATTGTAGCACTTTACGTCAAATTTCCAAATGAGATGTTTTTCTTTTTTTCTTTTTTAAATGTAGCGATGTTATTAAGCACTTATAAAAATCGTTTATTTTTATTGTACAATATGTAGTATCGGGTTTACACTCGATATGTGGTTATGGAGTGCGTTGAACTTGTAATATTCACGAGATTTGCTTTGCGATTTCCAAGAGCGGGTCAGATGCCGCGGGCGTGATCGCGAAAACGTAGCGAAGCAAAGCTGGAACATTAATTAACAATAACATGAAATCGATTTGGCGACGAAAGAATCGTGACAAGTCAGCACCGGTAGCGGCGACGATCGGCCGACACGCGAGCTCGCCGAGCTTGTAATTAATCGCGCTTAATCGTCGATAAACTTTATTGTCGCCGACAGATCCAGCTTGGACGCGCTCGCCTATAAAGCAACTTTTACGTGTGAGGAAGCAATTTAATATATTAAACTATCGGTGCCTTTGTAGCATTTTTATAAAAGCATATTTCAGATATAAAGAGTAACTTTTTGAAGCAAAAATTCGTTATGTAGAAACGTAATTTAAAAAAAAAACAATTGCGACTCGCAAAATTTATATTATATAGGAGCGTAAAGAGCCAACAGCCAGATATTCGTGCGAAGGTTATCGTGTATTAATTTATAACCATTGAACAATACATTAAAGAACAAACGTTTCAGCCTGTCATCAGGCCTTTATCAATGTTATTACAAAATTCAATAAATACGCAACGCAAAAATTAAATACAAAAAACGAAGTAAAATTGACATAATAAACTGAAGAGTCAACCATCACATTATATGGTTCTAAGTTTTTTCTTCTACCTCGTTCCATCTTGTGTGGATGAGCTTTCTACTATGTTTAACACAATTTAACGTGGTTTTAACTACTCTTCAGTTTATTATGTCAATTTTACTTCGTTTTTTGTATTTAATTTTTGCGTTGCGTATTTATTGAATTTTGTAATAACATTGATAAAGGCCTGATGACAGGCTGAAACGTTTGTTCTTTAATGTATTGTTCAATGGTTATAAATTAATACACGATAACCTTCGCACGAATATCTGGCTGTTGGCTCTTTACGCTCCTATCAAATTTATTGATTTTAACAATCATCAGAGCCTGATACATCTATAATTTTTATATTATATAATTATTAATGCAGGAGTTTTGCAACACCGTGTATATATATTTGCGAAGATGAGATAAGAAGAAAAGAGAGAGTGAAGGAGTTCAACAACGTGCATTTAAGAGCGTTCACATAACTCGGCTTTTAGTCGGCGTGCACATTTAAGGGGGATGCGTGTGTTCTGCGTATGAGTGCGAGCGAGCCTGTGATTAGGGGCCCAGTTGGACCCCCGAGGCCTCACAACCGCCCACAACGCGCAAGCAAAGGGGGAAGAGAGGGGAAGAAAGATACTTCAGACTCCCTCGCTCGTGTCTGCGAGAACGCGTGGGAACGTATCGGCTCGTCTATCATCCTGTTCTTTCTTCCAAACGAAAAGAAGAGAGAGAGATACATACATTTCTTGTTTTGAGAACCGTGCAATGCTCTTTTTTTCACATACATACAATTAGATTATTTTTTTAATAAGATAAATATTAACTTATTATCATTTTATTGCAATTTATGTTTACTTTCTTCATCTAAAAAATAACTTTCACGAGTTTTGATGAGTTATGTGAGCTTTCATTCTACATGAAATGTAATTAAAAGTATTCTTTACCGTAATATTTTTTTAAAATTTAATATATTTATATAATTTTAATAAAAGTTGCAGAGAAATACGGTAGCCTCGAAAAAAATATTCCCACGCTTCGCGATGTGTCCGTTTATTTTCGCGGATCTCGGAGATATCCCTCTCGTGACCTACGATCCCGCAACAGAGCGGTCCGCATTTTGGCCTGCTGGTGGGGTGATGCTAAGTAATAGCAACGTAACATCGGCACATCATCATCATCATTGTGTGCGCGCGTTTGTGCGTGTGTGCGTAAACGCACGCCCGACACTTTCGAGCACGCTTCACGCGTGTGTTCTTTTTGCTCCATCAATAGTCAACAACCGTTCAATGGTCGATTGCCAACCAATCAATTGATCGGTGGAGAGTTACGTAACGTTCAAGTCGACTACTGGATTCAGTATCCGAGAAAGTTGTCGTAAGAAGCTTGCAACTACGTTACTATGCGTTCACTAATTAAAGACGCTACGAAAGCTCGGAGCATGAAAATATTGCGCGTCACGAAAATTATTATTGAGTAAATACCGTCATAATTGAGTTTTATTT